TCTTAGTGGTTAACCAACAGCCCCCTCAAAGCTGACAGGTTAACAGTAACCACCCCTGGAGGGCCGAGCTATCGGGCAGCTCTGACTCTGCCACATTTCTCCACTCCGTCCACCATGACAGCAGGAGAGACCCTGTCATGTGCACTCATAAGATCGAGGTCCGGGGTATCTACAGAGCTGCCTCTTCTACAAGTCTATCGGCCCTGGTCCAAAAGGAAACAAGGAAAGCCTGAAGGGAGCTTTCTGTCCTTCACGAAGCCTTGCAGACTCTCACTAGCCCTGCTACCACCCTCATGGGCGTGTACTTTGTTTCCAGATCTCTGTCACTCTCAGAGAGCAGCTGTGACCACCTGGAGATGAATGATGGGGCTCTTCTTTCTGCCTCTGACCTGAGTGGGGCGGGGGGGACACGCCTAGCCATGCGATCCAGGTCAAAGGGTATGGACGCTTTAGTCACTTCCAAAATGCTTTCCAGAAGCTCCACCAGCAGTGCATTAGCATGCCACCCTTCACACCCACAGCACTGACCATTTCCATCATGTCTCATTATTGCTCGTTGGCTGAGCCGAGCCCAAGGTGTTTTAATTCACACTTCTCTTATGAACAGTTTGGAAAAGCGTTTCACGTGGCTGTTAATAATCTGAAATCCCTCTTTTGAGAACAGTTTGTTGTATTCTTTGACCACTCATCTGCTAGTTTGGGGCTTTACATATTTGCATTAGGGACCCATATTTCCTAGATAGCAGACCTTGATCACAGCTATTTGATATTAAAAAAGTGTCCCTCCCCCGCCCCGGTGACCACTTCTCTCTCTATCTCAATTGCAATGATTTTGCTTATGCAGAAACATTTCAATCTCACTCCATAAAAGTGATCTACTTTTTATCTTTTGTGACTGCTTCTCTCCTTTGGCTAAGGATTCACCCCTTGGCCACGGCAGTGATGGGCACCTCGATCTCGCTCCTCTCACGCTTTTTACGGTCCAGCCATTAGGATTCGGGTCACAGATACACCTTGAATTTCTCGGGGTATACCGGATGAAGCTGCTAGTCTTAGCCTAATTTCTGCCACACTGTTCTCCAGTTTCCCCAGCAATTCTTGTCACAGAAGGAGTTCTTCTGCAGATAATGTTTCTCAGGTTTAACAAACATCAGGTTATTGCATACAGTTGTTCCCTGGTTTGTTTCACTGTCTTAAATCAAACTGTTCGGAGGGTTACTGCTAACTGGAGGTAGGCCGAGAAGTGCTCTCCCTTCACACCACCTGGCTATGGCTGCTTTCCTGGGTCATCCAGACTCCCCGCCCTTCCAAAAGAATCTTGTTCTTCTCTTGTCACCTTGTAAAGCGTCCCCCAGCACAGCATTAAATCTGTGAAGCCAATGAGGCCCCACGGTCATTCTGATCACACTGGCACAGGCCACGCAGGGAGAGGGACTTTCTCCTCAGTTATTTAAGTTTTTCTTCCTTTCCTGAAGGAGCATTTTGTAACCCTCTAGACAGGTCTTAAGTGTTACACTAACTCCCAGATACTTTACGCCTTCTGTCACACTCATGGATGGGAAGGCCCTTCTCAATCATTCTGTTACTGCCATATAGAAAAGCTATGGATTTTTTGTCGATTTGCTTTGTATCCTGAGATCTTACTGGAGGCATTATTAAGTGTCTCCGTGTCTTTGCTGATTCTCTGGTAATTCGGTAATGGAATATTACTGTGCTGTAAAGAAGGGTAGAGAAAATGAATACAGAGAGTCATGTGAAGACAGAGGACATGATGCAAAGTGAAGCTGCGCACAACCAGGGAAACACAACAATGACTCCAACAAGGTAAACAGGAAGAACAACAAACAGACCAAACTGAAAGCTATGAGATTTGCAACAACTGAACTCGGTCCCACAGAGGCCTGCCATCTTTGTAAAGGCTGGGTCTACTCGGCAGAGGCAGGTGAGGGCCTGGTTAGCTTTTCTGAATGTTTTTTTCTCCTCTGTTAACAGAAATGACTCTCTGGAGAGGGACAGAGAAAGATCTGAAAATGAAAGTGATGTGAAAACAAGGAATATCAAGAAAACATTTTTAGAATGTGAATTTTTGTCCTTTCGCAGAGACAACCGGCCAAGTCGATAGAAGGCACCGGGCTAAGAATCAGAAGTTGGGTGGTCACGGATGAGACACTCTCAGAGACTGCTGCCCCGTGTGAAAAATGAGAATACTAATGGTGCCTACTTTAAAAAGCCACGCACATGCCAGCCTGCAGGGGGAACGGGAAATGGCAGAAAGGGGCTGGCCCCCAGACAGGAGAGCCCCGTGCGGCTCCTTGGTGCCCAGCTGAGCCATCTGAAGGCGGCCTGCGGCTGACGCTCACTGTGCATTCTACAAAGCATCCCCTAGGGCTTCAGGTGCATCCCTCCTCCCCTGGCTCACTTCTGACCCACCAGGCTCCTCATAGGAATGGTGATGCTGCCACCTGCAGGTCAGAAGCAGGCCCACACCCGCCCAGCCGCTCTGGGATGGATGCCCGAAGGAGGCAGCTCGGCTGCGTCAAGGACGACGCCTACCTTCCCATGCCCAGGCAGATCGATGGTGCCCAGGACTGGCCGCAAAAGCTGAGCTGTGAGCTGGGGAACACAGCCTGGAAAACTGGCCTCACAAGATGGGCGAAGACAACCCTTTTCTCTCCTTACAGCTAGGAGTGATCTTTGTGGTCAAGCCAAACACCTTCACTTTACAGATGGAGAAACTCATTTAGTTGTTTTTAAATTGACACAAAGGTGAAAGTCTATTCAAAAGACACACACGCACACACACACACACACGCACACCCTCATTACAACAGAAGCTACAGGGAATGCTGCTGTGGCATACGAAATGGTGCCTCATTCCTCAGCACCCAGAGAAGCAGGAAAGTACCTACAGGAAGGGACACAGAGCCACGCCAGCAGCGCCAAGGAAACAACGTACCACACGTACCACAATTTTAAACAAGCCCTACAACAACCACACAACGATCAAAAGAACCGATGTGGCCCCAAAGAAGAGACAGAGTCAGCAAACATCCTCCCTCTTCCGGACAGAGGCACTGGACGCTGCACAGATTTTCAGATTCTGTCCGTGGGTATTGGTCAGTTTTGCTCATTTTTTCCCCCTTTCCTCTTTTTCTTAAAAATATTCTTTGTTAGGCCTCATGATGGAAAATGCTGTCCACATCCAGAGAAAGAACTACGGAGTCTAAATGCAGATCGAAGCAGACTATGGGCTATTTTTTTTTCTTCTGTTGTGTTTTGTTTCCTCTTTCTGGTGGTTCCTCCTATTGGTTCTAATTCTTCCTTACAACCTAATGTGAATTTTTTTTTTTTAGGTAATTGGGGTTCAGTGATTTACCCAGGGTCACACAGCTAGTAAGTGTCAAGTGTTTGGTCTGAGGCTGGATCTGAACTCAGGTCCTCCTGACTTCAGGGTCGGTGCTCTACCCATTGCGCCACCTAGCTGCCCCCTGAAAATATGTTTAATAGGAATGTATATGTATAGCCTATGTCAAATTGCGTGCCATCGTGGGGAGGGAGGGGGAGAAAAATTTAAAACTCAAAAGCTTATGGAAGCCTCTGACCAAGCACTTGACACTTACTAGCTATGTGACCCTGGACAAGTCACTTAACCCCAATTGCCTTAAAAAAAACAAAACCAAACCTTACGGAAGTGATTGTTGACAAATCAAAATAAATAAATAAAAGAAAAAATATTCTTTGTTATATCAGATGGTTCTCTGGGGAGAAGGCACAGGAACACTGGGAGAAATCTGGGCAATGTAAAAACAAAAAAATCAATAAAAACTTACTTTTAAAAATGGAAATTCTTGCTGTGTTCTACAGAAAGGAAGACACCTTTTGTTTACATAAAAAAACTGGATGAATGTTGTACTGCCAATAATAAAGTGGAGAAAGAGTAGGCGGGGCCATTCTGCAAAGCGGAGATGTTTCTCTCTATCTGATACAGCCTCACTTGAGAAGCCCAACGCTGCTCTGCCTTCCATTATCACTGCACTGGCATGAAATATCAAGTTATTGCTAATAAAACTCGATCTGCTTTTCAAGATGCTGTGTCAGGAACTAAAAGAATCTGGTGGAATTGCGTACTGCAGATTTCTAGTACTTTGTGTGGGACAAAACACAGTCACGCGTGGGTTCCTGAGAACTGTTCCCGTGGTGTTTGTGAACGGCGGACTCTACTCTACTAAAGACAGAGTACGACCCCTCCCTTCCCCGCCAAACCCCTCATGGTCATCATATGAAGGATTTCAAATAAAAACAGGGACTCGAGCTGTCTAGCCTTGAATGCCGGAGCACTACCGAGGTACTGTAAATGTGAGCGCTCCAAGACGACCCCTCCCGTGTTACCACAAAGGTGAGAAATAACCAATGACCACGGTTCTTTGGGAAAGTCTTGATGGCCTATCCTAATCCTGATTCCTGACTCATTCCAGACATTTTTATTATTCCTGCGTTATCAGCCAGCAGTCCAATTTTCTGCTAATTTTTCTCCTCATGTCAGAATTTTGCAATCTTTGTTGTAATCAGATTGCTAAAACACAAGGGATAAAGCAGTCACATTTGTGACAAGAGGCAGAGAAAGAGAGTTGGAGGCAGAGTCTGAAAGGGATCTGGGTTTGAATCCCACTTCTACTGGAAAGTCCCGGAACCTCCAAGACCTCAGTCTACCCGGTACGGACAGTGACGCCTCTAGACACAGACGGTACTATCTGGGAAGGTAGCTGGGTGACGGGGAGCGCGAGGCCTCCGCTACGAGGACCTCCAACTTGACCCTTCTCTGCCAGACAGGTGACATGACTACAAATGTGGCCACAATCACCGGGCGTGAAATCTCGAGCAATGGGCAGTGCCCGGCAACCGGAGTCACGTCCGTGTGTGACGAGGAAGATGACGTACATAACGGTTAGCATCACTCCTCCCTGTAGCTCCCTGGGGTCCCTCCCCCCAGGCAAACTCACCTTCATCCACTGTGAACTGACAGCTCTTATCATTGAAAAAAAGGATCTTCTTCTTGTCAGGACGCGTGACAAAGATGATCTGGTCCCCTAAGGCCTGTAATTCAGAAGGACAAAGAGAAGTGATTCTCTCGGGCACACGGCCCCAGTCAGGGTGTCAGGGTGAGCACCCAGGAGCTTCAGTCCCCAGGCTTCCCCCCCACCCCCCCACACCTTGTGTGTGTGAAGCTGACAGGGGCCGGCAATCGCACAAGTCAGGACGGGGTAGCGACCGTGGGAAGCCAAAGGCCAGCCCGGGCACGGAGCCCCAGGAGTCTAGGACCCCCTCGGACAGACAAAGGACGTGAGCCAGAGGATGTCGAGGGACCTTCACTGTACAACCACTGTCACAAATACCGAGACACAGCTCATATGGTACTAAGAGCAAGGCCAGCACTGCCCGAGGCTTCAAGGCAGCATTTGAACTCAGATCTCCCCTCCTGACCCCAAGCCCAGGCTTCTTCCATGCCTTTCAAGGAGCCACGTTTCAGTGTACTCTTCTGAGATGTATAGTTCTGTAGGGTGATGCAGATCTCAGCCTCTCCCGGGCTCAGTCAAAGCACCCAGACCAAAAAGCAGCACAGGAAATCACACCCTCTGCGCCGCCCCTCCCCGCCCCGAGAAGAGCATGTCTGCTGCGGGAAACTCCCCTTGGGTCAGGAACATTCTGAAAGCTCTGTGACCTTCAAGGGCTGGGGGAGAGACCTTGTCCCAGGTGTGGACCAAAGAAGCAGCTATTCCCCACGTGGCCCTTCTCCTCATGCTGGGCCGGGCACAATCCCCTTGACCTGAACTAACCAGTAACACCTTTCCCAGGAGGTTCCAAGCACCCAACAGGCTTTCAGAGGAGAGGGGCCAAGGGAAGCTACAGCAGGAGGGCTCTGGTGGAGCTGTGCTGAAGAACTGCCCTGAGCATCATTAAGGATAAAAATGGATGACTAAGGCAAGTTTCAGAATCAGAGAGGATTTAAAAACAAGGCAAAAGGCCTACGTGCTTATGACAGGCTCCAATCTCAGCCCTGCTACTTTATATCTGCTTGACCTTGGGGAGGTACATCACCTTTCTGTGCCTTAGTTCCTCACCTGTAACATGAAGAGGTCAGATCTCTAAGGTCCTGTCTGACCCTTTGTGACCCCATTTGGGGTTTTTGTGGCAAAGATACTGGAAGGGTTTGCCATTTCCTTCTCTAACTCATTTTTACGGATGAGAAAAGTAAGGCAAACAAGGTGAAGTGTCACCCAGCTAGGAAGGGTCTGAGGCCAGATTTGAACTCAGGACATTCCTATTCAGCCCTGTTCCGCCTCACTCTATGCCCCTATGATTTAGACCTTCCCGTGGCGGCAGAGGCACAGACAACAACCAGACTCCACTGACTTCCGGTGAGAAAGGACACAGGACGACCCCACCCAGCTCTTCTCACATCACTGTCACCAGGCATGCAGAGAATGAGCAGCCTACAGAAAAGCATGAAGGCGGGAGCCAGCAGCGCCGCGGGATGGGGGGGCGCCGTCGGCTCTCACGAAGGGTGCACCTTGCCAAAGGACATCCATCTCCTGAATTCAAAGCAAGCTCCCACTCCAGACTGCTCCAAGAACTTCCTAAAGATATCTGGCCATGGTTCCAGTCACTCTCCTAGACCACCTCACCAATTAGTTGTCTCTGCTGGGTCCGTGATTTAGGACACTTGTGCAAGAATCTTAAGAAGTTTTAGCTTAAAACAAATTCTGTCACTAGCAATTTGGGGCAAGCTTAAATTCTATAATTCGAGTGAGCAAAACATCTGACTTAGGCCACCTATGGGCTTCCTTACAATGGAGACAGGCAGGAACGACTCTTCCCAGCAGGGCCTGAATGTGACGGGGGACGGTCATCTGTAGCATTCTGAATCCTGTGAACCACGCACCCCACCTCCCTGCCACCCCTTTGCCAAGCCACAGCCGCTGCTTGTGACCAACAACTCTCACAGGGGCTCCCGGTAGTCCCTGAGCATCCCCAGAGGCTACCTCCAGAGAAGCCCCAACCCCCAGGGGAAAGCCAGACCAAGAAACTCAGGAGGATGGCACGATGCCAGAATGACAAATGCAAACTCTGGAGTCTACATAAAAATGCCAACTCCCTTCCCATCGCCACTACAAATGGATGCCAACTTCCGAAGTCTTCCCAGCTATTTCTGAAACCACTGTGCTTCTCACTTCTTTGAGCACGACAGTATCCCATCACAACCATACACCACAACTTGTTCAGCCATTCCCCAACTGATGGACATCCCCTCGATTTCCAATTGTTTGCCACCTCAAAAAGAGCTGTTATAAATATTTATACATGAGTCCCTTTCCTTTTTCTCTGACCTCTTTGGGGTACACACCTCGCAGTGGTATTGCTGCACAGTTTCGTAGCCCTTTGGGCATGGTTCCATATTGCTCTCCAGAATGGCTGGACCAGTTCACAGCTCCACCAACAGTGCCCGGGCGTCTCTATTTTTCCACATCCCCACTGGCATCTGTTATGTTAGACATCTGGTGGGTGTGAGGTGGTACCTCAGAATTGTTTTAAAGTGCAATTCTCTATTAGTGATTTAGGACACTTATTCAAATGACTATCGATGGCTTAGATGTCTTTATCTGAAAATTACCTGAACAGGTATCCTTCGACCATTTATCAATTGAACGGCTTGTGTTTTTATAAATTTGACTCACTGCCCTATACATCAACTATCACTTTGATCACTGAAAAATATTCCAGGTCTCCACACTGCTCACAGGACAAAGCCCTAGCTCCTGGCCTTCTCCTCTCTCTGTCTTCGTTCCCCCATGGCTCCTGCTCATAAATTCAAATTCTAGCTAAACTGGCCTATTCAGACCTTCGCTACTTTTGAGCCCAGGGTCATCCACCCACTCCTCTAGGCCTGACCACCGTAGCAACTCTGTCAGAGCCCAGAATAACGCAAACGAGGGCTTCCTCTGGCCAAGAATGCACGTCCCTTCCCCCGCCCCAACACTCCCCCTCCTCCAACTTCCCCACCAGGATTCCCTCCCAGCACTAAGAGGCCAGACTCTCATTCTAATCAGCAGCACAGACTAGTTAGCTTGTGGCAAGAGGAAACCCCATTGTGAACTGAGTGCACTCCAGCCCTGGTCCAAAGGCCCTGGAGTCACGCCCCCACCTCAAGAACACACCAAGTGTCTGGCTGCATACGCAGCGCTGTCGCCAGAATGCCCCCTGCTCCCCCCAGACTCCTGGCCCCTTCCGTGGAAGGGTGGTTTAAATCATAAAAACCAAAGCACCCACCACCTCTGGCCATCAGACGCACGATCATCACACAATCACCTTGATGGCTTTCTGGGCGTTGGGCAGCCCCTCCTCAATGTCTTCTAGGAGGATTCCTCCCAAGCCTCTCTGGTCATGCTTATCGAGGAGCCGCAGCAAGGCCTTCTTATCCTTCAGGTTGTACTTGGGCTTGAAGGCATACTTTCCATCTACTACTTCAATTTTGGGGTTGTTGACTAGCGCCTGTAACAGTGACAGAACAAGAGGATGTGCAACGTTCACAGGGACTCTTCAGTTCTCACCCTCAGGACACCACCACTCAACACTGGACCTTATGTTTAAAAATCGCCTCCTCCCTCACCCACTGAGAAGGCAAGAAATACAAAGTCCACGACAAATATGTAGTCAAGCAAAACAAATTCCTGCATTAGCCATCCCTCCCTGCTCCTCCCACCCTGAAAGAAAGAAAAAGAAAGAGGAGAAAATGTGCTTCTGTCTACACTCTATCAGTTCTCTCCGGAGGTGGATGGTGGGTCATTGTGTTGATAAGAATTACTGAGCCTTTCCCAAGTTGATTCTTTTTATAATATGGTGGTTTCTGTTCTCCCAGTTCTGCTCATTTCACTTTGCATCAGTTCATACAAGTCTTCCCAGGTTTCTCTGAAACAATTCCCTTCATCATTTTTTTATGGCACAATAGTATTCTATCCCAACACACCACAACTTGTTCAGCCATTCCCCAACTGATGGGCATCCCCTCAATTTCCAATTCTTTGCCACAACAAAAAGAGCTGCTGTAAATATTTTTGTACACATGGGTCCTTTTCCTCTTCCTTTGATATCTTTGGGATACAGACTTAGTAGTGGTATTGCTGGATCAAAGAAAATGCACAATTTTTGAGACCTTTAGGAATAGTTCCAAACTGTTCTCCAGAATGTTTGGACCATTTCACAGCTCCAAAGTGCGGTAAAGTCTCTATTTTCCCTCATTCCCTCTAGCATTTGTCATTTTCCTTTTTTGTCATCTTAGCTAATCTGATGGATGTGAGGTGGTACTTCAGAGTTGTTTTAATTTGCCTAATTTATGTGATTTAGAGCATTTTTAAAGATGCCTACTGATAGCTTTGACTTCTTCCCCTGAAAACTGTATATGCATATCCTTTGACCATTTATCAATTGTGGAATGGCCCATTCTCTTATAAATTTGAATCTGTTATCTATAAATCTTTGAAATGAGACCATTATCAGAAGTTTACTGCAAAGATTTTTTTCCCAGTTTCCTGCTTTTCTTCTAATTTTAGATGTATTAGGGTTTTTTTTTTAATACAAAACCTTTCTAATTTTATATAATCAAAAATGAATCATTTTACCTCCTGTGAACCTCTACCTCTTGTCTGGTCATGAACTCTTCCTTTTTCCATAGATCTGACAACAATTACCTTCTCTGCTCCACTAATCTGCTTATGATAACCACCCTTTATATCAAAATCATGCACCCACTTAGTTTATCTCATACATACACTATGAAATATTGGCCTGTACCTAGTTTCTGCACGACTTCTTTCCAGTTTTCCCGGAAGTTTCTTGTGATATTGTGAGTTCTTGCCCCCAAAGCTGGGATCTTTGGGTTTATCAGACACTAGGTTACTGCAGTCATTTACTTCTGTCCATTTTGTTCCTAATCTGTTCCAATGATAAACCACTCTTTTGCTTACCCATTACCAACCTGTTTCATGATTACTGCTCTCTAACGTACTTGGAGATCCAGCGCTGCGAGGCCCCCTCCTCTGCATTTCTTTTCATTATTCTCTTGATAGTCTTGACCTCTGGTTCTTCCAGATGACTTTTGTTACACTACTTCTAATTCTACAAAGTAATTCCTTGGTATGGCCCTGAATAAGTAAATTCATTTAGAGAGTACTGTCATTTCTATCATATTGGCTCGGCTTACCCATGAACAATCAATATTTCTCTAATTCTTCAGATGTCTTTATTTGTGCGGAGAGTTTTGTAATTGTATTTATAAAGCTCCTGTCTGGGTCTTGGCAGGTAGACTTCCAAGTGTTTTACACTTTCTACAGTTATTTTAAAGGGAATTTCTCTTTCCATCTCTTCCTGTCGGGTTTTGTTGGTAATAAATAGAAACGGTGATCATTTGATATCTTGCAACTCTGCTAAAGTTTTGGTTGTTTGGTTAGATTTGTATTTGACTTTCTAGGGATCTCTAAATACGCCATCACATCATCTGCAAAAAGTGCTCATTGTGTTTCTTCCCTGTCTATTTTTATTCCTTCGATTTCTTTTTCTTGTTTTACTGCTCTCTCTATATACATACCCACCCACATACAATTTCTATTGCAATACTGCATAATAATGCATTGATGGACATCTTTGCTTCAGCCTGGATCTTAAAGCTTCCAGTTTATTCCCATTACAGATGTTTGCTTACTTACCATTTTAAGGAAAGCTTTGTCTATTCCTGTGCTTTCTAGTGTTTTTAACAGTAATGTATATTGTATTTTGTCAAAAGCTTTGTCTGTATCTATTAAATAATCATGTTTTCTGTTGTTTTTATGATTGATATTATAAATCATGCTTATAATTTTCCTGATGCTGAATCAGCCCTAAATTCCTGATATAAATCCAACCAGTTCACAGTGCATGATTTTTGTGAGATGATGTTAAAGCAAGATAAAACCCCGCTAGCAATTTATTTAAAAATTTCACATCAATATTCATTAGGGAAATTGGTCATTTTCTTTCTCTGTTTTAACTCTTCCTCATTCAGGTATCAAAGCAATTCCATAGATATAATTTGGTGGACCTCTTTTACCTATTTTTAAAAAAACCGTTTATGTGGTATTAGAATTAATTGTCTTTTAAATGTCTGGTAGAATTTTCACTTGTAAATTATCTTTTTTTGTGTTTTGTTTTGGCACGGAGCTCATTTATGGTTTAATTTCTTTTTCTAAGACAGGGTTATTTTAAGCATTCTATTTCCTGTTCTGTTAATCTGGGCTACTTTATGTTTTCGTAAATATTCATCCATTTCATTTAGGGTGTCAGTTACATTGGCATATACTTGGGCAAAATAGTTCCTAGTAACTGTTTTTATTTCTTCATTAGTTGTGAATATACTTTTTCATTTTTGATATGAGTGATTTGGTTTTCTTCTTTCTTTGATTTTCAGGACTTCTATTTTGGTGTTTAATTAAGGGCTTTTAACTTGACGGTTTTTCTGGCATTTTAACCATATACCCAGTTTGTTGGTCTGCCTTTTCTCTCCTTTGTTACTGAAAGCATTTAGAGATATAAATTTTCCCCTAAGTACTGCTTTGGCTGCATCCCACAAATTCTGGTATGTTTTTTTCATTATTATCTTTAATGAAACTATTATTTCTTTGATTTCTTTTTGAGCTCATCTACTCTATAGAATTAAGTTAGTTTCCAATTAATTTTTAATCTTTGATTGAAAGATCTTTTATGGAATATAATTTTCATTGCACTGTGGTCTGAAGAAAGATACATTTAATATTTCTGCTTTTCCACTTTTTAAAACAGGTTTTTAAGCCTTCACACGTGTGATCTATGTTTGTGAAGGTGTCATGCTCAGCTGAGAAATAGGTGTAATCTTTTCTATTCCTATTCAATATTCTCCAGAGGTCTGGCATATCTAACTTTGCTAAAATTTTATTTATCTCTTCTTCTTTCTTGTTCATTTTTATGGTCAAATCTATCTACATCTGAGACAGATAAATTGAGGCTCCCCATTAGTATAGTTTTACTGCCTCTGTCTTCTTGTAATTAAATTAAGTTTTCCTTCAAGAATTTACCTGCTATGCCATTTTGGTGCCTGTGTTCATTATTGTCAATTCACTGTCAATGGTACATTTTAACAAAACGTAGTTTTCTTGTTTATTTCTTTTAATAAGGCCTACTTCTGCTTTGTCTTAGATCATGATTGCTATCCCTGCCTTTTTTTATTTCAACTAAAGCATAATAAATTCTGCTCTAGCTCCTTCTTTTAACTCTGTGTGTCTCCTGTAAACAAAACATTGTTGAATCCTGGTTTCTAATCCATTCTACCCTCTTACATTTTATGGGTGAATTAATCACATTTATTAACTGTATCCCTTCCATTCCTGCCCGTCCCTTCTTTAAGAGTCTGCTTGACTTCTGACTGCTGCCTCCCTTCATCCACCCTTCCCAGCTCTTATGCCCGGCCCCCACTGTTCCCTTTACCTCTTTCCTTCCCATTTCCATTCTGGGTAAGACACATTTCCGTATCTAACTGTGTACATCTGTATATTGCTCCCTTCTTGATCAGTTCGGATGGGAGTGAGGTTTCAGCATCTGCTGCTCTTGGTCTTCTCCTTCTTGTACACACTTCTCTTTGCACACCACATTTACGTGCACGGTCTGCCTTTCCCTCCTCCCTTCTCAATGTCTTCCAATCGCCATCCATTCCCTTTTCCTTTTGAGATCATCCAAACACCACAGAATCATACCCACATTTTTTATTTAATTAGACTCACTCTATGATCTCTGGCGACGAAAAAGTTCTGAGGAACGACATGCATCATCTCCCCATATAAGAAAGTAAAAAGCGTAACCTTGTTTAGTCCCTTACTATTCTCCCTTTTTATGCTTCTCTTGAGTCTTGCGTTTGAATGTCAGATTTTCTATTCAGCTCTGGTCTTTCCATCAGGAACGCTTGCAAGTCCTCTATTTCATTAAGTAGACATCCCCACTCCCCCCCTCCCCCCCGCTAGGATTATACTCAGTTTTGCTGGGCAGGTTATTATTGGTTGTACAGGCCTAGATCCTATGGTTTCAGGAATAGCATATTCTAAGTTCTCTGCTCTCCATGGTGGTGGCTGCTAAACCTCGGTGATCCTGATCTTGGCTCCTCCTTCTCGGCTGCTTGGAGCAGTTTTTCCTTGACCTAAGAGCTCTACATTTTGGCTATATTTCTGGGAATTTTCATTTTGGGGCTGGTTTTAGGGGTGGCTGGTGCAGTCTTTCAATTTCTACTTTATCCTTGGTTCTAAGAGATACAGGCAGTTTTATGATTTCTTGAAATAGGATGTCTAGACTCTCATGGCTTTTGTGTAGTTCAGTGATTCTTAAACTCTATCTCCACAATGTGTTTTCTAGGTCACTTGCTTCTCCTATCACATTTCATTCCATTTCTTCAGTCTCTGGACTTTTACTACTTCTTGACGTCACATGAAGTCACTGGCTTCCCTACGGCCAATTCTGCTCTGAAGGAGTTCTTTTCTTCAGGAAGGTTTTCTCTCTCTTTTCCTATTTTCTTCCCTACCTCTGGCCGTTTTCCCCATTCTTTTCTGCACTACTCTCATTTGGTTTTAAAAATCAAACTTTTTAATTTTTAAATTAAATTTAACTCTTTCAGGAGTTCTTATTGGACTTGCGTCCACGCTGCATTTTGTCTGAGGCTCTGCATACAGAGTTTTTCAAATTATTCTCTTCTGTGTTTGCGTCTTAAGCTTCCCTGTGCCCATAATGGCTCTTTATGGTAAGGTTCTGTTTGTGTTTGCCCACTCCAGTAGTTTATTTTTCAGATGGAGATACGGTAACTTGTTCTCAGTCTTTCTGTTCAGTCTTTATTAGAGTATTACAGATCATATTATTATAGCATAGACAGTCTTTATTTTAGCATTATAGCTCAGGACTTAATATAGATAGATTGAAGATTATGAGAGAACTGCGGACAACATCAATATTTATTTACCTATAAACCAATAACTTTTGAAATGCACCCCACAGAAAAACCTACAACATTTTTTCCAGAAAAAAAGCAACAATTTGTACAAAAATCACACATTTGGTTATGTCAAGGATTTCCCACTTGTGTTTCTGATTCTCGTTTTCACATAAACCTGCTCCACTTACCTCAGACATCAGCCATTGTTTCTGCTTAAGCCCTATGTCCAAATGCTGGGTTTCATCCAAAATTTCTTCTAAAGTCAATGGATGTGTGTCACCTCTCTGGTGTCGGGTCTAAAGGGACAGAGAGAAAAAAATACCTTTTAAGGACTTGATGTACTCAACAAGAGCCACCTGCTGGACTTTTTTCCTTGTCACCAACTCAAAAACAGTTTATTTCCTTTACTCATCTGACACATCATAGATTTACTGAGTGCCAACACCCACACCACAGCCATGAGGGATGTATGCCTATGGAAGTGAGCAATGAGGCTGCAAAAATTAAAAAATAAAATAAAATTAAATAAAAGGACACAGAGACACAGGGAAAAAAAAAAGTAAACTACTAACTCTTTGATCACAGAGTGAAAGACCCTCCACAACTGAGCTCTAAAAGTCAATTAAATGAATGAGAAAAGTGAAATGAATATGGACTTGAGGTCAGAGACATTGGGACTAAATTAGGGCTGGCTGTTTAACCAAGGTATCATTCTTTATTCTTGCCAGCAATAAGAAGCGAAGCTTTACCAACATAGAGAGGCTTACAGAATCAAGGACAGGAATAAAGGAAAACTGTGTTTCTATCAATCACAACACCAATAGCCACCTTCTATGTGCCAGACTAGATGCTAAGTCCTGGGGACACAAAAATCTATTTCCTGCCCTCTAAAAGTTTACATTCTAAACGGGAGAAATAATACACATAGGGGAGGGGAGTGAAGCAAGCAAAGGGTGTTCTGTTCTGGTGAGTCACAGGAATGATAAAGCCCTACGGAGTAATCCATAGGATCTTTCCAAAAGGTCATATTGGTAGTAATTATTGTCCCCAAAGCAAGTGGTGGACAAGGAGGTGGAAAATCAGACTGAAATATTGGGTATGATTTATTTTAAAATCTTCTTTAGCATGGTAGCAGACCTTATGGTCTCCAGGAACATCAGCTGGTAGATATTTTATATATACTAGATAGGGATATATCTCTAATATCTATTTTATATTATAGATGTGTATATGGCTATACAATATATGTCTTTACATATATAATGCACATACATTTCACATCCATATATATGTATATCTATATATGTATATAACTATAACTATATATACATATATATATATAGGTGTGGATGTGAAATACACGCGTGCGCACACACACACACATTCTCTCTCTCTCTCACACAGATTATCCAGGAACAAAGCCACAAATTTTTTTTTTTAAGGCAACTGGGGTTAAGTGACTTGCCCAGGGTCACACAGCTAGTAAGTGTCAAGTGTTTGGTCTGACGCTAGATCTGAACTCAGGTCCTCCTGACTTTAGGGCTGGCGTTCTATCCACTATGCCACCTCGCTGCCCCTAAAAGCCATAAATTTATGAAAGGCTTCTCTGTCCCAGGCCCTGGGGTACAAAGAAAGGCAATGCTACAGTCCCTGCCTTTGAGGAGCTCGTATCATCCTTAACATTATGTCTTCACTAACCTGTGTCTCTCCAACCCGAACCAAGACCAATACGCCGCGCACACCAGGAAGAATGTAGTACATTGAATTTAAACTAGAAATAGAACCAGGGCTCCTGAATCCTAAGGCAGGACCTGTCCGCTGTACCACACAGCCAAGAGCATTTGATTAGCAGAGAAAGTTACTGTCACTGGAGCTGACCGACATTTAAGCAAAAACCAAACAAAACCCCCATTTACTCAGAGAAACCAAGCCAATCAAAGAGAAGGAAATGTGCTATCCGTGGCCAGATCTCTGCAGCACTGAAGGGTCAAAGCATGAATGTCCAAAGTGCTGGGGTTTATAAAGTGACTTTTATACCAAGACTTTAAAATTCCACAAGATGGAGATGTTTCCCCATCCAAGGAGACAATCCTGTGATTCTAAGGCCCATGATCCCCTTCTAAAAGGAGGAAATTAAAGTGTTTTCTTCATCAAGATTGAAGATAGAAGATTTCATGAACTCCAGTGATCTTTTAGCAATTTACAAAAACATTACCTTGAGAGCTGCAAATTTTAATGGTTTAATAACCTTGATATTAATTATCCATAAAGCTTTGGTTTGTTCCTTCATACTTACATTTAAACTCATTAATACTTAAGCTCTGTGTTTGTCTTTTTTGTCCCTAATGTCTAGACCAGTGCTAGGAACAGAATGGGCACTTCATATGTCCCTTCTAGATACTTACTCTCCTGACAGGCAGGTGACAGATTTGGGGAGCAGACTGAGACATCTGCTGTTTTGTTACAGGAATTTGGTTTTTCTCTCTTTATCAGTGGGCACCATGGCAAGCAGATGGGAGAGAAACTGGATATGCATTATTGGGGGGGGGGGGGGGGGATGTAACTACAAAAATTAAAACCAAAACCCAAAATAAGTTTTTCAGAGTGTTGCTTCAGAAAAGAGCTAAGAAGCATTCCTACCTCCCTTCCTTGCATCAGTGTGGCACTGTGTCCACTGCCAGCTCCTTCCTGGCTGAACTACTCTCCCCTCGATGTCCATATTCTTTGTTACAATTCACTGTTATGTGTCGAGTGCCTACTATGTGCCAAGCACTATAATGAATCAAATCATCCTTGCCCTCACAGAGCTGACGTCTTGTTGGGGGAAACAACACGTGAGACTCTTTTTTGGTTCAAGTGAAAAGATTAAGAAATAAATACTTCTTCACCCCCAAACCTTTTCCAGATTTTCTCCTTTAGGAAATGGTCCTGAAGGTTAAGAATACAAAATTAAGGCCCAGAAAGAGTCCAGTTGGTCTAGTTGAATTCACAGCCCTCCTAACTTAGCCACAGGGCTCACACCCAACGGCTGTGTACACTTTCCCCTTCACAAAGGTCAGGGTAGGACACAGGAAGGAAGGCCTTTCAAACCCAGGAGTCAAGGAGGAATCCAGCTGCCCCAGGGATTTTAGTGCAACATTAAGTGACAATTATTCTACAACGAGGGGACCTAAATAGTGCTTTGTAATACACACTGTAACCTTTCCCTTGCACAAGGCTCCTATAAATGTGACCTCAAATGGTCTTAAAGAGAGATTAGGGTGAGGACGGGTGGGTGAGGGCCGGTGCCCTATTCACTGCACCACCTAGCTGCCCCTCACCCTATCCTCTTGTGCTTTCTCCTCTCTTTGCCCTCCTTGCATACAAAGTGGTGAAATAGAAGAAATGCCATTGACCCCAGGACAGAACCTAGAACTGAATTTAGCATCAGGCTTCTTCTGCTCCCATCTCACCCCACCTCTGCCCCAGTCAGACCAGGATCATCGGTGCTCAGATTTCCCAACTTGCCCTCTCATTCCTCCCTGTGGATGATGCATCCTCAGAAGCTAAGCTCTGCTTTGCTTGGGACTTTCTCCTCCGTCTCCCCTCTGACTGTCTTGTTCCCAGGGGATTTTAATGTATTTCTTCCCCAAACTCTATGTGTACACACACTCAGCGCTCCTCTGCCAGGTTCAGATGAGAGGGAGGCTCGTGTGATGCCCACCCCTTGACTCTTTGCTCTATAATTGTAGACTCCTGTTTTCCCAAAAGTTCTCCCCCCCATTTTTTTTTTTTGCTAATTTCTCCCTTGCTATATTCCTTTTCCCTTGTTTTCTTTCCTCTCTTAAGACCATCAAAACCGATCAATAGCGTTCATCTTTTTAAAGTCCTTCTGTGGCCCCTCAAGGCATGAGGATTGTGATAGGACACTTCTCTTTGCACTTTCTTATGGAACATATACTCACTGGATGCTCTTCAGCACTATCTGGCTGCTCAAACAGACTAACCTTTCCAGGTTTTTCTTGACTCTTGTTTGCAGCATTTCAAAGCTACTCCTCAGCTCTGGTCTTTTCATCAGGCAAGCTTCAAAGTCCTTTACACTGTTAACGATCCCTTTTGCCCCTGTGGGATTACAGCTGACCTTGCAGGGTAAGTGATTCTTGGTTTTCCAACTTCCTAGCTTGCCTTCAGGAATGCTGGACTCCGCCGTACATCAGGTGCCCCTGAGTGTGGTTCCTTGGGCCTTGAACTCCTCTCTAGCTGCTTGTCTCTGCTATAAGGTTCTTGGGAGTTTTCAATCTGGCGACGCCCTGACACCTCCTTTCTGTTAGACACTGCCCTCTTAACCCAACAGACTGGGCTAATTTTCCTGCAGGAATTCTAGATTTCTATTGGCTTTCTGGTCATGTGCGGTCATGATTTTCAGAGAATCCAATGAGTTTTGAATTGTTTCCCAGGTCAGCTGTTATCGACACCTCACAATTCTCCTGCTTTTTTCAATCTTCAAATTTTGTCCTACTATTTCTCATGTCTCATGTGTTACTGAGTGGTTTGCTTCATCCTAATTTTCAAGGAATCCACTACTTAGATGCTTTCCACCTTTATGTCCCAGCTATTTCCCTTCCAATTCTTTCTACCACAGGTCTTACTTCATTTATGATTTCATTCTTTAGCTTCTGCTTCATTTCTTTCCACCCTCAGGTGGTCCTTGTGGTTGAACTGCTGACCAGCAATATTTCTTCACTGTGTTACTCAGTGTCTTCTCCTGGCACTCATGCTTCTTGTCTCAGTTTGTTCTGAGACTCTGTGCCAAGGACAGGCTCCTTACCCTCCTGTACTCTTGGATGGGATCTAGTCTGGACATTGGCTTGCACTGCCCCTGTTCTGTCCACGCTCAGTATGTTGTCAGGTTTCAGCACTTGCTCAAGATCGTCGACGGTAAGCATGCTGAGGTCTCCAGGACCCCACTGAGCATCCTCAGTCTGACTGCTTCAGGGCTCGCTGATTTCTGGGTTTCCCCAGGGTGCTTGGGCCAGAGGGTTGGAGAGGGGCATCCGGGACCATCTCTGACCAGATGGAATGCAGGCTTCTGGCTGACTGGCCTGAGCTCTTCCTCCTGGCATTCATTCAAACATGCTGGCAGGCCACCCCTCGCCCAACGCCCACAGACTTCTGGCTGTCTCTCTCAGCAGTCCTAGGCTGGATGAAGGTTAACTGCTGTTGTTTTATTTTGGCCTTCTTGATCACAATTTCATCTGGTGCCTTGTGAAGCTGGATTACACGTAGGAGACCTGGGCTCCTCTATAACCTTTCATGT